TAAAATTGGTCCCACTCAACATCTATCCCACCATATTTTTAATGGTAGAGTAGAAGATATTTCGTCTTCCGAAAAAATAATATAAGAATAACAGGAAACTATTATTTTACCTTTGAAGAATTATGTACAGTTTTAACCCAAATACTCATCTACTAGAATGGGCGTGAGCAAGAAAAATAGAACTTATTGCTAGCCCAGACAAAAAAAGTTTGCATTGTTAAGGTTCGAACTATCTATAACATCCCCCCACCTCAACATCCATCCGCCCACCTCTTAATAAAAGAGTTCCTATAGCCTCAGATATTCAGTTGTCTAAATTCAGCTTGAAGGCCCTGCGCTACTATCAATAAATTAAATGATACTTGTTCTATGAGTAAGCGTCTTACTTGTAAGATTTGTGGCGATAAGAAGGTGCAAATGGTTTTTATACCATGCGGGCATGCCGTATCTTGCGTGAGTTGCAGTCAATCCGTAGTTATTTGTATTATCTGCAGGGCGCCGATTAATGCTAGAGTAAAATTTTTTCTGACTTCCAACTTTCCGGAACTAGCCGAACTCAACTGAGCGCGGTGTAATGCAGGGGAGGTGGTAAATTCGTGGGTTGGTGGAGTGGAGGTGGAAATACATAACATATATAAGGAGGTCCCGACCACGTACCAGCATCAGACATTTAAGTGTAGCTGACCTGACCACCGACATGAACAACCAGAATGAATACCAGGGTGAAGAAGATGAAGGAGTTAGGGAGATCATTCGTCAACTGGTCTTAGTAGCGCGCTTTGATGCCAACAAGCCAGGCATTGACGAGTTTTGGGTCGCCGTAGAACGTGATGTAAGTTTTTAACTATTACCTTATGTTTATAAAATTACTAATCATTATGCTTATAAAATATCTAATCAATATACTTCTTTACAGGCTGCTGATGCTGCTGCTGCCGATGGTGATGGAGAAGGCGCGGCTGGTCTAGCGCAACTTGCCGACGAGGATTTGGGTGCTGTTGGTCCGGCACCACTCGTCGAAGAGGGTGAAGACGCCGTTGGTCCAGCCCCACCCGCCGATGAACCCGCCAGCGACGACGATGATGAGGGCATTGAGGCCGATTGCCCTGGATCACCGACTTCAATAAGAAGGGAGCTGGCTGTATTTCAGGCCAGAGGCGGTAACCACTTCTGCGTTACATCCAGCTCCGTTATTGTGAAGTTGGTTATTCCCGGCATGGAACGGAGCAAACGTCTGTGCAACCCCTGCTTTCTTTATTACGAGCAGATGGAGGTCGAAAGAAATCCAAATGCCAGGTACATACTCGAGCATCAGCATTTTGTTGTAGAAGGAGGGGGTTTTGGAGTATCCGCAAACAAGTGATGTATGCGCCCGATATATTTCCCACTTCTGCGACACAAATGTTTGCCCTGTATGCATCGGCGCTTGAAATAAAGGAGTCAGGGGTTGCAATACGGCGGCTTTGTTATGCATCCAATGACCCTCTATATATTAGTTTTAGATTTAATTTGTATAATTGTTTATTATTTAAGCTTTATGTATATATTTAAGTGTAAGTTATTTTATTATTGTATATGTAGTAGTTAATAGGAAAATAAAACTTGTTTTTTTTTTAATCTTTATTTCATTTAATATCCATACTAAACAATATCATTTATATTAATCCAAGAGTTTTCTTGCTGTGGGAATCCCAACCACTTCACCAAGGCTTTGTCCCCTTTCGTCCGAATGACCTTTTCCACTAAATAAACATCTTTCCACTTTGTTTTTAATAATTCCAACTCATAAAATGAGCCTTTAATCGATTGGCCATTCATATCTTCTAGAATGTATGTTACGGGGTATGTGCTATTTATTTTTCTTATTTTGAATAATTCAGTTGTATAGTTAGCAGTATACCCTTTTTCAAATATGCTTTTATATTTACTTATTCTTACGACATCGCCGACACGATATTTCGATTTTTTACGCCTTACTTCATTTTTGTTTTGCCTATATTGGTTGAGTTTAGTTGTCGGCAGGACATCTATTGGCTTCATACCTATGATTGAATGCGTGGTGTTATTATACTTATTAATGACGCCGTTTATAATATCTATCCAATTGTATTTCCCTCTCATAGCCATTTTTTTATATAATAGGGATTTTATCGTACGAATCACACGTTCTGCCATTGACGCTTTCATTGTACTATAAGTCGAATAGTGATTTATATCATATGTTTTCATTACTTTCCCAAATTCCTTGTTATAATATTCTGTCCCTCGATCCGTTTGTAGATTTTTAGGATGGTGTGCGCAATTTTGGAGTATATCTAAAAAGGCATTTCTAACATGTAAGCCTGTTTTATTTTTTAATGGTCTCGCCCACACATATTTCGTATAACAATCGATGACAATTAGAATATATCTGTAACCATCGTTTTCATCTTTATAACTTTGCATTAATACTTTTAAAAGACAAATTCAAGTGCAAGTATCTCAATTAAAACGAGGCGAACTAAAAAATTATAAAAACATGGAAGAAGAATGTACGCACAATTCAAATCGGGACTTTAAAACTTTCTGTAAACAGCTGGAGAATTTGCACCTGGAGTTCGAAAGAAGGTTCGCGGATTTTGCCGCTCTCGAAGAAGTGCTAAGTTTCATGGTATTCCCTTTTAATGAAAATATTGACATTGACAGCTTGACCGTTAAAATCGGCAACTTAACCGATGCTGAATCTGTTGTGGTCGAAGAAGAAATAATTAAAATGAGAAGCGACATATTTTTGAAAGCTAGAGCATCTGGTAGTACAGATTTTTGGAAACTGATTTGCAAAGAAAAGTTTCCATGCCTAAGAAAGGTAGCTTTATATTTGATTTCGTTTTTCGGTTCTACCTACCTTTGCGAATCAACATTTTCAACTATGAATGCAATAAAAACCAAAAATCGTTCCCGTTTAACAGACGCTCACTTAACTTCCTGTTTGCGCATCGCAGTTACTTCGTACACTCCCCAATATGATAAACTTGTGGAGAATATGCAGTGCCAAACATCCACCCAAAAACGTACAGCACAATGAAAGATGCGAATTTCGTATGTAATATTAATATAATATTTAATTAATAAATACTTACAAATTTATCACAAAAATGTTTTATTTCTCTCTTCTAAACCCTACCTTGCAGTCGACCGCAAGAAATATTTTTGAACACAAGTAGACCTAACAGGTCAAAAGTTTGGCCACCCCTGTTATATAGCCTCAAAACCCTTTTTTTTTCAGAGCCTGAAGACAAGCTATTGATCCTCACAAATATCCCTACACTTAACTAAAGACCCTTCCATGATTCAGCAAGGGCCGAACCTACGATAACTCGATATTATCTCGCCCAGCCGCTCGGGTGGAGGTAAATCTTATATAAGTGATATATGTATGTGGTATGTAGTGCAGGAGTAGAGTAATTTACTTCATACTAGTATTTCGCTGTTGATACGCCCCTGGGTATTACATATGCTAAGTTACTCATCCAGTTGATATTAGTCTACAGTTTTATGTTGAGCTTTAAAAAAAAATCAAAGATTTTTTTTCATCGGGGAAGGGATGTAGATGTTACGATCAGATTTTGTAATTTTTATAATTACGTCACTTTATTAAACAATTTCGGTTATTTTCATTTCTCTGAAATAAATAATATTTAGTTGACATTTTCAAAATGTCATCTTTACTATTTTGTAGAGTAGTTTCTAGATTAATTCAAATATATTCATATCAGCTGTTTTCGACAGACCACGTCTGTAACGAATGGATACGTTTTGTTGAGGATTAGTAACTCTGTAATTTATAAATCGATTATGGAGTAGCGTTCGATATTATTGTTTTTTTAAGGATGTACTTTTTGTATTATAATTAGTAAATGTCTTATAAAAGGTTAATAATTAGTTCATCTGTATTAGGATTTAGTTGATCCAGCAGATAACAATATGAATTGTTGTAAATAACTCGTTGTTATTTACCGATGTATCGGAATGTAAATCGATTATCGATTTGTACTGTGCTTCAATTCGAAACTGTTCGATTTGTAGATATCGAATTGTTGGTTAGGAGAAATTAAATTATGCATATTTCATTCTCTTGTAAGTTTAAAAGCCAACCTGAAAGGTCGTCATTATCAAGCCTATGTGTGTTCGAAGTTATAATTTTATGCATTTGTAGAATTTTTGGTATTGCATAATCATTAAAACCGCCCTTAGTGTTGGGATTGCGGGATTTGAACACCATACATATTTTTTCAAGAATACAGTTGAATTCTGGATTTGGCTAATGACGCAGTTGGAAAGCTGGCCGGTAAGTTTTTTTTTGGTCACTTTTTTTGTGTATCTTCATAGAACACGTGTTTTTAGGAGCGTTTTGTATCAAGTTTTTGGTTAACGATTTCGATTTTATGTACGATTACGATCTGTACAAAGATTTGGGTAACGATTTGTTCTCTAATGTTTACCATGATAATGATAATGGAAAATATTTTATGGAATTTGGATATATATGTGATGTTGTACCATACCTATTTGATGTCCTGTTAATTGGATTTTCTTTGATTTGGATTGTATGTCTTCCATTCTAAGAGTTTAGTTTGTCGAGAGGTGTACAATGAGTCCATGTAGTTTGCGATTTAAATCTTTAACATAGAGCCACCAACTTCACCATTTTGATGTCCACCTAGTATCAACACGTTGACGACGATTGGTCTTGTACGTATACATTCCCAGGGCGCGACTTTTTTTGTTCGTTTTTTATTTGTGTATATTATTTGTTTTTATAATGAAATAAATTTTTACCAGTAAATTTGCGGTTTTTTTTGTTTTTTGACCTTTTTTCCAATGAACCACCGGTGGTACACAACGCCCCCAGGTAATATTTATTATCTGGGGGCGTCGTGTACCACGGGTGGTGCATGTCGAAAGACCAAGGAAAAAAGCTAATGTAGGGTTTTTGTTACAGGTTAACTAAATAAATTATCATGAAGACGAGAACAAAGAAGATATTACATTTGTTGCAACCTCCAAGAGCTCCTGAAAGCAATCGGACTTCATTATCGGACCTGCCAATAGAAATCGCTCTGGAATCTAACTTGCTTTCACATTTGCCCCAAAACAGTCAGGCTTCATCTTCGGCAGACTCCATAGCAAATGCTCCTGAACCTAGTTTGATTCAAGATTTACCCCAAAATATTCAAACTTCGTCATCGGCAGATTCAACGAACATTGCTCCTGACCCTAATTTGATCCCAGATTTGCCCCGAAACAATCAAGCTTTCTCATCGGTAGATTCCAAAAAATCACCTCCTAAACATAATCAATTCTCGGATTTGGCCAAAAACCATCAGGCTTCCTCGTCGGCAGAATTAACAAAACCAGAATCTGAAACAAATCAACCCCCAGAGGCGACTCGAAATATTCAGGATGACTCAGCCCTAACAAAAACACAAGTTCCTGTGACTTTTCTTGGTGATCCGTCTGCATCAACGTCTAAGAAGAGAAAGGCATCCCAAACGCAAAACCAGTATTACTGGTCATCTTCAGAAGATTCAGAACCGTTTCAAGACTCTGGCGACTCATATGTGCTTTCTGAAAATGAAGTACAAAGTGATGTCCCTTCTTCCACAGCAGAATCTGAAGATGAAGAGCCATTGGAAAGTGATGGTAATGGAAATATCCCCGACGTTACGAACACACCACAGGATAACTGGGGTCCCTGTCAGGATTTGCCATATACGTTTCGATATCAAGAACAATGTAAACTTCAGAAAAATAATTTGGATGTTGGTAATCTATATAAAATTTACAGAGAGTTTCTTACCGACGAAATTCTCGATATTATAGTTTTGGAGACCAATCGCTACGCGTCACAATATTTACAGACTCATGAACTTCGACCACGATCTATGCTCAAAAAATGGACTGACACCAACCGGAAGGAAATCAAAAAGTTTTTAGCTATTCTTTTGATAATGGGAGTATCACATTTGCCGCAAATGCGTTTGTATTGGACTAGCAGCGAAAAATTTGGCAGTAAACTTATTCAAAGAATTATGAAGAGAGGCCGATTTGAGAGCATTCTTAAATTTATTCACTTTTCCAATAACGAAGATCCTCAAGCAGAACATGACAGATTATTTAAAATAAGAAACATCCTACAGTTATTCTGTCATCAGTTTCAAGTAACCCTTCTTCCCGGCGAAAATATGGTAATAGACGAGAGCATGGTCCCTTGGAGGGGCCGACTAGCCTTTCGCCAATATCTTCCGGCGAAGACACACAAATATGGCATAAAAATTTATAAAGTTTGCACTATAGAAGGCTATACTTACAATTTGCGCGTGTATACAGGAAAAAATGAGGCCGCGAATGCGAGTGGTAAAGGTCATACATACGATATATGCATGATACTGATGCAGCAGCTTCTTGATGATGGACGAACCTTATTCATCGACAATTTCTACACAAGTGTTCAATTATCCAAAGACCTTTTAGACAGAAATACTTATGTATGTGGCACATTGAGACAAAATCGTAGAGGCAATCCAAAATCTGTTTGTCAAAAGAAACTAAAAAAAGGTGAAGTATATGGTGAGCAGAGGAATGATGGAATTAAGGTAATAAAATGGGTGGATAAGCGAGCAGTAATAATGATCACAACCATTCCAACCCACACAGATGTATTAATTCCAACTGGAAAAAAAAACAGAAAGGGAGACGAGGTGGTAAAACCGCTCGCCGTAATTGCATATAACAAAGCAAAAAAGGGGGTCGACGTGTCTGACCAAATGAGCTCGTATTATACTTCTGTGCGAAAGACGGTCAAATGGTATAGAAAGTGCTTTTTGCACTTGAATCGGTTATTTCGAAAAGGCCACATCTCCATTATTTGGGAAAAATGAGGTTAACCTCGCCATGTTTTTCAAAACGCGCTAAGCTTCATTTCACGTGAAAATGCCACATCTCCGCTATTCGATAATGTTTTATAATGAGCGGTGTAGTTCCCTGTTTAGTTCGAAAAGGCCACTTCTCCGGAGATGTGGCGTTTTCGAAATAAAGTGCGCACGCATCACATGTGATGATTCAGCCGCTGTTGGTGCCAATAACAGGCAGTCGTTTTAGTTTTTAGTTCAGTCTCAGTTGAATGTTACTACGATTGGGTTTGTGCATTGTTTATACAAAATGAGTAGCTCTGAAGATGAAAGTAGTGCAGTTATTGAAAATGAAGAAAGAAAACGAAAGAAAGGCGTGATTAATCGTACCCAGTATAAAAGTGAAGTTATTAAGAAGGCCAAAGTGAAAGGTGAGTCACATTTTAATCATGTCGGAAAAAAGGTTTTGGCGCGAAAAACTGGAATCAACTGTAGTTGCCGCAAAAAATGTTGTGAACAGTATTCAGAAATTGACAAACGTGCATTGTTAACATCGTTACATGATTTTGATAACAAAAACTCACAAGACTCCTATTTGCAAGGTCTGATAGAAGTAGCTCCCATTAAGAGAACCAGAAAATCTCAAAATGCCATTAAGCGTATAGAGAGACCTAATAATTTTTTGTTTAATACTTGTTTAAACGGAGTACGTAAGCATGTATGCAAGAAAGCATTTTTGAGTTTATATGGAGTTGGCGAAAAGCATGTTAGACGATTATGCCATCTACTAACGTCGGGAACCACTCCAAGAGATAATAGAGGTAAATCTATTAAATCTAGGCATAATTTAATACCAGCTGAGGTGTGCTTTCAAATAAATGAACATATAAAGTTGTTCGATGTAAAGGAAGTCCATTATGCTAATGTAGTGAAAAAGTATTTACCTGCTACGTTGGATGTTAAACAAATGCATAAAATGTTTATCGACAAATTTCCTGACTCTAAAGTAAAATATAGTTTTTATTTAAAGTACTTTCATGAAAATTTTACATATTTTTTTGGTCGTCCTCAAGTTGATGTGTGTTCTGCCTGTGAAGAACTTGGCCAAAAAGTTAAAAGCGACCCTCAATGATACTGCAAAACGAGTTGCTGTTGCCGAACTCATGGTTCATAAAAACAAAGCTAAGAAATTTTATAAAAAATTAGATCAGATTAAAAAGCTCTCTTCAGAGACTGACGAAATACTGGGAATCACAATGGATTACATGCAAAATTTACCAATACCAGACATACCTGTGCAAGAAATTTTTTATTACCGACAGTTATGGGTTTTTGAGTTCAGTATTCATAACTTAAAAACGGAAGAAGCTAAATTTTATTCTTATCATGAGGGCGAGGCTTACAAAGGACCCAATGAAGTGTGTACTTTCTTAAAACACTATTTTGAGCATGAAGTTTCAGAGAATGTCAAAGAAGTTCATATATTTTCAGATGGTTGCGCGGGCCAAAACAAGAACCACACAGTAGTTCGATTCCTTTTAGCCCTTGCATCCTCGGGAAGATTCAATAAAATTGTACATTATTTTCCAATCAGGGGCCACTCATTTCTACCGTGCGACAGAGACTTTGGGGTAGCAAAAAGGCTCATTCGCAAGCAGGACCGCATTTTTCTTCCTGAAGAATATTATGAGTTAATAGAACGATCATCAAGTAAATCTCTCTTTTCAATAGAAAGGGTTCATAATGAAAACATTCTGGACTTCAAGAAATGGTGGCCCAAGTATTACAAGAAAACCGTACTATCTATTGACTCCTATCAGAAAAAAATCAAAGATGAGAAAATAACTTTTCAAATTTCACAGTATAATGAATTCGAGTATGACTGCAGAAAACCAGGGATTGTTAAAGTACGTCCATTTATTGATGGGCTCATGTTCCATGAATTTTCCTTGGGAAAACCAGCTGGAGTGTGTCCTGATTTGCCATCAGAGCCTGCTTACTCAGGAAAAATTCCTATTAATTTCAAGAAAATGGACAATATTAAGAAACTTGTCCAGTATGTACCAGACGATAAAGTGTTTTTTTACAATGAACTGATTTTATGGCCTACTACTAAACAAGATGAATCACCCGAAGAAGACTTTTAAATAACATATTTGATAACTTTAAACATTTTTTTTGTTGTCATCTAATAAATTATTCATTAGTAATGCTAGTTTTTTTATTAGTTATAAAATCATCAGTGTTTGGTTGGAAAAGGCCACAACTCCTAAAACAAAATAATTTTTTTCAGTGTACTTAATTTGATTTTCTTTTTTTTTTTTCGTAAATGAAACTTCATTTTGCATTACATCTTGACACTTTATTCGAAAAACAGAAGCATAACCTCACGAATTCCAATATGAAACGTTTTTTTTTATCTCCTGTAAAATTACCATTTCTGGAGTTGTGGCCTTTTCGAAATAACCGATTCACTTGTAACATCTGTTGTAAATACCTGGTCCGTGAATAATACTTTTCGGCAAAACACTAAGCCTGTCGACATGCTTCAAGTTCGCGATGCTATAATTCATGGATTGCTATATAACAATGATGATGAAGATGATACCATCCCTGATGCACCACAAAATGACGATGTTGATGAGCGAGCAAAGAAAAAACCACGAAAAAATAGTTTACTTGCAAGCCATAAAATTAAAAAATACGAAGGTTTTGTTCGCCAAAATAGAAAAAGATGCGGTGGTTGCTATGAAAAGATTAAAAATGCAGAAGGAGCCAAGGTAGCCAGACTGAAGGCAAAAAGAGTAGTAACCTATTGTGAAGACTGTCCTAATAATAAGACATATTGCATAGACTGTTTTAACGATTATCACAAGTAATACGGATTTATTTATGATTTTTATTTTTTAAGTAAGAATTTTTTATGTTAATTTTTTAGTTTTACTTTTTTATAATATTATTATAACGTAAATAATATTATTTAGTTCTTTTAGTTGTCATATGTTAGTTTAGTTTTGAAAAATCAAGCTGCAGTTTTATAAAATAACCATTAAAATTTTATTTTATATTGTCAATTTTTCATTTATTACTACACCCATCCCTGTGGACGAGTGCTCCAACGGTGACACACGGATCTATCTATACCCTTCCTATATACGTTTACCCAATATCATAAGCCTAACTTATATGTATAAGATTTTAACGAATATAGAATATGTGGTATAGCTGTAGCCACCGGTGGTGACCTACGCGTACCAGAGAAATGCCTTGGTCGGCACCGGTGGAGCACGTCGTCGTAAACGTGTTAATAAAAGCAGAGTCTTGAATCTTCGGAGGCTCCGTGGATTGTTTATCTACTGTTTAAGCTAAGTAATTTTTATTTATATAATATTAATGTGGTCTTGAGTATAGACTCATAGGTTTTTTGTTTTGGCTCCAACGAATTACATTTGGTTATTTTCAGTAACTTTAATACTAAATTATTTTGTCAAATTTTACATACAAGATTCGTTTGAGTTGAAATCTATTTAAATTTGATGTAACTTTATCAATGTCCATCTGTAGGCTTGATAATGTTTTTTATGATTTAATAAGTTGCAACTTATAGAACTTATAGAACATATATAAATCTTCGATGTTATAATATTTTATTTGTAAGCTGCTGCATGATCCTTTGTATACGACTTATTGTATTCTACGTATTCGACTACTCGACTAATGTAAAAATGTATATATTTTTGTAATTATTATCTATAACAAGAACTAATTGGTTCTATCTTTGTCATTAGTTTCATGTCTCTTAAGTCTCTTGCTGAAGTCTGTCTTTAAAAAAAAAGAGGTTAAAATAAATTTGATTGATTTGCAGTTATTATAGTTTTATTTATATTTAGGTATTGGAAAACTTAAATTCTGGCCCGACCTTTAGTGCACCAACTGAAGTTAGGAGAACCCAAGAACCCTTGTATAGTCTGATACTCAAGCTACCCACTCAGCAAAACCACAGGTAGCAATTCTGAAGAAATTATTGAGGAAGTGACCGTACAGCAAAACCGTACAGCAAAAGAAAAATAATTATGACAATAACAAATCCAAATCTAAAAAGGGAAGAATGAGATAAACAGAGAATAGAAAAAAGGGCCGTATTGAGTTCTATTGATACTTATCAGTCTCCAGAGGGTTGCAAAGAACAATTTGTTATGAACACAGATGTGTTCATAACTCTAATGAATCCTTTATTCGAGAATCTGATTCAGCAGTCAAATTTATATGCTGTACAAAAAAATAAAATTCTCAACACTAACAATAGTCCGGGAGCCAGCGACATTTTTGTATGACCAAAAGTAAAAAAGCTGCAATTTTTCCTAGACTTCACTTGGTGACGCTAGTAAGTAAATGGACCTTGAGCTGGCGCACCTCCGGGAGGTATAGCTGCGGCAGCCTCCCACACACGTTAAATAATAATAAAAAAAACTAATATCGCAAGAGTTGAGACTTTGTCGACGTGTATTTTATGCCGTAAAAAAACGAAAAAGCGTGTCCAGCTGACTTTCAAAGTGGTGGATTATGCTCCAGCTTCTCACGTAAACAAGTTCAAAATATGTATTAAATAAACTGATATTGAAAAGGCTGAAACTTCGTTAATTAATAATTAACTTGATAATTTAAACGAAAAAAATACCCAACTTTATATTTATTGGCGAAAAAGTGACAAGTTGATGCAATTAAACATTCAGCGCATCGCTATCCACGCGGGCGCGTTGCAGCTTTGATTGCATTAGCTGGACACTTTTCCCTCAATAAATATAAAGCTGGTTATTTTTTTCGTTTAAATTCTCAAGTTAACTATTAATTTACCATGTTTAAGCTTTTACGGTGTGAGATATCTATTATTTTTTATTTGCACAGTGCATCGAATTAAAAGCTTTTGCTTGTAAACGGTTATAGTAAATATTTACGCAACGAATTTTGGTAAACATGTACATATGAAAATGTAAACAGGAAATGTTGATAAAGCAATTTCTTAAGGGGGTAGTCCTCTAAATAATTTTTTTACGATTTTTTTTTTTTTTCGCTTAAAATGTTCTTTAGGATGTATATTTTATTATAAGCTTTATCCCATCTTCGCCGGAAACTTCGTTCGTCAGTTATGAGGCGACATGCAAAGATGCGCACTGGCGCCCTAAGCGCGCTCGAAGGGTACCTCGGTTACCGTCAGAACTGGAGGGATTTGTAGTTCAGGATGCTGTCGCTAGCATCGGAGGTGGCGCTAGGATGGTATACAGTTGATTGAAATGTTCCCTTCGCATTTTGAACAGTCTATGGTGGTCATTCACAACAAAACACGCTTACGTGCGCGCCGGCGTCGTTTGGTGTTGTAATCGTGATTGTTTGTCGTGCGTGTTGTAAGAATAAAACCGTCAAAACATATTTGCCTTGGAATGACTCTAAAAAGCTTGACGAATATTAAGAAGATCGTTAACATTATTAACCGATATGGTCACTGCTGTAGTTACACAAGTTTGGAAGGCATCGAGACTGAAGCCACGTTTACTTCTACTCTGCGTTCTGACGTTTGTCCTAAAGGCATCAATCGGTCAAGAAATCTGTGCACTGGTATCGCATTCAATAATTTTGATAGATTCGTCGACACTTCATCTGGTAAGGACACACTGCATGATACTGTTGGTATTATTTTTCAGAATATCGACACTTCTACTGACAATGAGCCTGATAATGAGGACAATAACGCCGATATAAGTACAGCAGGTCCTTCCGATAACAGCGCCGATATGAGTACAGCAGGCCCTTCTGATAACAACGCCGATATAAATACAACAGGCCCTTCCCACAGCAGTAAGCAGCGAAGGCGCACTTTCGATGCAATCACGTATGAATTGCAGCCCTACACTAAAACACCGAAACTTCACGAACATTTAAAGGTTACAGATACTTAATCAAATTTATCGAATCTGCATTTTGAAGGGTTACAAAAAATTAATTTTGCATTGATGCATTATCTTGAAGTACCAGATACACCAATGTGGGTTGGTTTTAATAGCCTGCTTTATAACGACACAACTCCAACACAAAAGGTCTGCTATTTAACTACAATTAACTCTTCACCGACAAATGGAGGGTTCAGAAGCCAATCAGTGTAAGTCAATTTTTTCCCGAAAATGACATGTGATTTTTTGTTATTTGAACTTTCATTAGACAAAACACTCAAATCGTTATTCCTATGATCAAGCGATAGATGGCGTCACTTATTTTGACCACTGAGATTTTATGCTAAATTATTCAGAGGCCAACCAGAGTAAGTCACTAAATGTGTAAGTCAGTTCAAGATGAAGTCTAGTTCGGTATTTATTTGGTCTTGCTTCAAAACCTAATTAAGTATTACGTATTATTTTTATGCAAATAGAAATAATGGACCTCTCAGAAAGTGAAAATGAATCTTTTTCTGACAGTGGTTCTGAGTATGCCCCGGAAAACAAGCAAAATTCATCTAATTCCGTAAAATATATCCTCAAAAACAGTTTTAAATTTCATACAAATTCATAAAACTAAGTAAATTTAGGATAGGTATTCTTATTTTGTGATGCTAAATGAGCTGGTCTTGAATATAACTATTGTTTAACAATGTTTAAATACTGTTTTAAGCAAAACAAAAACGTTGTTTACCTTATTTATGACTTACACTTCTGAATTTCTAGACTCGTCTGTAGTACCCGAGGTTGTACCTAATAATGGGATCCAGCTTGAAAATGATGGCAATGAAGGACAAAATGGTGTGGATCAAGCACAAGGAAAAAAAAGTAAAAGAAATAAAGAAGCATTGAAAAGAACGGCCAATTCTGCTAAAAGGCATTCAGGAAAAGCTTATGTTAACAGAAGTGGGAAGAACATATTGGAGAAGACTTTTAGAAATGTCGACTAGATGTTCTAGAAAGTGTTTTGAGTCTGTAAGTCCTGAGGAGAGGCAAATGATTTTTGAATCGTTTTATAAGTTGGGAGATAATCAGGCCTATGATTGAACACCACGATTATAACTGAGGTCGGTTAAGTTATGATAACTGGGCATGGATAACTGTCTTGATAACCGAAATTGAAATATTGGTATGACTGATCAAGATTTAACCGTGCCTGT